CAGTCTGTTAGAACTGAAGAAGCCTCTTGGATGAGAGGTGAAACATCTTCAAGAAACTCAAGCAAGTCTAGTTGCCATTGATATAGCACTGCAACCAAGACTACATGTTTCCCTGATGTTAGCATAGCTACATGTAGCAGTGAAGGCTATGTAACATATACACTTGCAGTAATATGACTGGCGCAGATGACCATATAAAGAAATCCATCATGATCCAATGTCAGCTTATCTCAAAAGTAGAAAAAAGTTGGAGACAGTGGAGTGAAGCTTGAGGTTTTTGCTCATAGAGACTACTTTTACAAAAGTATACCTCATTATTTGAAACTCTGGCCACAAGAGATATAACCAACAGACAATGTAACATTTTAAATGTGGCAGAAAATAAGGAAAAGCATAATAGGTCCCCTTTAACTGTCTGACTGTCTGAGCAGACCAGTCTGTCCTTTCAGTTTTGTTGTTTGCTAACTCTAAAGAGAATGAAGAGAAAGAAGTAGAGTAGGAAAATTGTTTCCTTTAAAAAATACGTTTTCCTTGCTGTTCTGACAAATTAGTAACAAATTAAATACATTATTGGATTTTGATTTTATGGTAATTGCCAATAAATATAGGCATTTATATACATTTGCAAGTAAATGTCACGCTTTAGAAATGCAAACTTCTCCAGCCAAAATAGACTCTTAAAGAGCTCGTAGTGAGATGCTTTGGTCATGGACCCGGTGGACACTGCTACAACAGTTAGAATGGCAGCAAATCATCTCCAGCAGCCACGACAGAGAAAGATTGGTGGACACTGGTGATAAAAGAACTGGTTTGTGGCAAAATAGTTTGTTTTTGTGGGTCACCTAAGTATAAGAAGACAAATTGTATTCCATTTGGGTCACAAATATTCATACAATACCTTCTTTATACATTCTAGAAAGTTTATGTAGTGCAGTTATTTTAACACAATGAGATCTAAATCCCTGTGAGATGATTGTCCTGAGTGTTCTGTTAAATCTACACAGAATCTGTGTCAAATATGAGGATGGTGGTGCAGGGAGCAGGCATCATGACCTGCACAAAGAAGTTTGCAGGTTGTGACCCCTCTGTGCCTTTGCACCCATCCTCCGTCCCTGTCAAAACGATGTCAGAGCTGAGAGAGGAGGCTGCCACATCAGTGAAGGAGGGGAGGGAAAGGACAGGGAGCAAAAATGAAGGCTAAAAAAATCTCCTTCCAACTGAATATCTTTCCCATCTGTTGCTACCTTACTCAAAAGAAAATAATAATTCAGATGCCAGTATGACTCAAAGCAGGAGCAGCATAAACTCTGTTGCTCATTAAGAGCGGCTCTGCTCTTTTCTCTGAGGAGGAGAAAAGAGCAGTGGAAGTGAGATCAGTAGAATTGGGGCAGCAGCGTAATTTGACTTCCTAAACTTTCACCTTTTCTTCACTCACTTCATTCCCTTCAGTCTCCTCTGGAGACTAGTTGAGCTTTAGCCAAAAGGTTTCTGTCTCTCTCTTTCCTTACATTTCTTCTCCCTTATTCCCCAATGTATTGTTCGGTCTCACCCTCTTTGCCCCATCCATAATATTAAGGGCAATGCTTACTTACTTCCTCAAATTACTTTTTTAGAGGGAAAGTGAACTACTCTAGCATACTCACTTCAGCTATTCCATACTGTATCCAACTCTTATTCTTGGCCCTGTATTTGCATGTATTTTATTGTATAGGAATATAAATGGGACAGCAGATATATACTGTGCTAGGAAGAGAAAAAGTTGTGTAAAACAACACACTTAGATGAATGATGGTGTGTAGAAGAGGAGGTGAAACAAAGGGACTGCTGTTAGGTGAAAGTATGGCTCGCCGAGCACCTGCAAACAGTAAGTAGAACAGAATAAAAATAATGTTTTCTCATCCACAAATGATGGAGGATCTCGTAAATAGGAACTCCCAGTGAATGAACCAAATTGTTGCATCCCACAAGCGCTATGCCCAACTGTCCCGATTCAAAGACACATGCCCAGACACATTACCCAAGACGCTTCAAACCTGCTTTATCCTCTCGGTGGGCCACATGGTAAATCGTCAAAAAGTATAACCTCATTTATAAAAAGCAGCTGACAAGATGAGGGAGTATTGCTGCAGTGACAATTCCAGGACCTGTGGTGCTGAAAAGCAAGGCAGGTGACTGAGTATGTCATCCTGTTTTAGTGCATTTATTTGAAAAGTCAGGCCAAGCACTCCAGAGGCCACATTATTTTCAATTTCTGGCACGCACATCTCTGTAGGAGTTCAAGAGCAGTCAAACTCCAACCCTGGCTGCCCTGTGGTTCAGCGGCTAGCACCAGCATTCAGGTTCATCTCCCCTGTTGTCAATATCAATAATTACCAGCAGGTGCAAAATTAGCTTTCAGCAAAGATGACCCTGAACACAGATATAGAATAATTAACTTGAAGCTCAGCAGCAGTGCAGACCTCTGCCAAACCTCAGCAACTCTCCAACTTATAATGCTGTAGAGGGGCCATAGTTTATTGGATGCCCATTTAAGACAGGTATATTTTCTTAATATTCACCTATTCCAAGAATTATATAGGAAATTCTAAAAAGGCACTTCCCTGTTTTTTTCTCCGCGGCCAGGTTTGATTTAGTTTTTGTTGTAATGCAATGTCAGTAGTAGTAATAGTTAAAAGGAGGTTATGTTTTCACCGGGGTTGTACTGTTTGTCTGTTTGTCTGCAAAATAACTCGAAAAGTTCTGAACGGATTTTGATGAAATTTTCAGGAAAGGTTGATAATGGGACAAGGAACAGATGATAAAATTTTGGTGGTGATCGGTTGAAGCAAAGTAGATAAAATAATAAAATGGTGGGAAATCTGAGCTGCTTGGCGGAGGTCTGCACTCTCCAAGTGCTCTAGTTCTTTCGTGTATACCTTGAGAAATTCAGGATAATATATATTTCCACACTACTAATTCCATCAGTACAAGTCATGTGTTAGTTACTACTCTGCTTCTATGAGTTTCTCTCAATGAATATATGTAGTGAAAGCACATTTGAAAAAATTAACAGCAACATCTCTATCCCGAAATTGTGATCCATTTCCTCAAAATAATCTACATTGGTACTGGTCACTTGGTCAGGCAACTAGGCTTGGGCGCTACCAAGCTAATATGGCATATCGGGGTATTTAGTACCAAATGTATAATTTTCAATACCATCAAAAGATGTTCCTCTTTCTAATAAACTGCTACGGAGATGCTGTATTTGGCAATGTATTGTAGTGCACAGCACGCACCACCAGAGGTCAGTCTCTACTGGTGGAACAAGCAGCTGAAAAAGATGAAAGAAAGATGGCAACTGTAAGTGTTGGGGGTAACGTTACAGGACTAGTAATAAAGAATAATGCTTTTACCCCTTGAGATGACTTCTTCCAATTAGAAAAATAGTTAATTCAACAAGATTTTATTTGACACATCATTTCCGCCGAGTCCAGTAATGTATTGGTATCCACCACAGAGTGTCACAGGTCCTCCATCATGCTTATTTCCTATCTATTATTCTATGGGCCATAAGTATTTAAACCCAACAAGAATTATCTAAGTAGGTTAATTGCATATTAGAAACACAGCATTGCTGCTAGACAGTGACATAAATGCTACAATGCCTTTTGTCACTATTAGCTCAGCATGTATATTATTTATTTTTTCTACACAATACCATCATACACTGTACTGTACACCGAGTGAAATGTCAGGAATAAATGAGAGTCTAAAAAAATAGACAACCCCAAGCCTTAGTGCCACAAATACAAAACTAACATGTTGAAATATTAACCTACGGTCACTGATACAATGAGAGTAGTCTTTGCTCTCCGTTGATAGTAACTGTGCACCTGGTAGGGTTTATCTCAAGAGATGAATTTCAATGCATATATGTATTTAACATCAGGGATGGATCGATGGGCATTCTCCTCTGCTTACTCAGCTCTCCTGCCTTAATCCCTGATCTACAGAGGGAGTTTCTCCAGTAGGGAAACCACTAGGCACACAACATGAGTTGCACACAGGCATACACACTCGTGGGAATCGTTCCAGCTCAGCACAGCTGCAGCCACAGCAGCACACCTGGGCTAATTGGACAGGAGAGGGAGCGCTCCCAACACCCAAAGGACGTTTGCCTTTTGAGTGTGTATCGTGTGTGTGCGTAGCTCCCTTTTCTGTGTGACCTAGAGCCTCTCCTTCACTGATAGAATGAAAAGGTGATAGATAGTGCAAGCCTGCTCCCTGTTCCTCATCCCAACTCCCAGCCCATCTATCCATCCATCCTCTCTGGATGGAGGGAACAAAGTGATGGATGAGTGTGGAAAACTTTTCTCCTACATTATATTCTTTTCCTGAGAGGAGCGAAGTGAAGGAAATAAAGGGAGGCTGAGTCACATGACGATCAGAGAGACAGAAAGAGAGATGGCCATATATCCAGACCGAAATATCCCTGACAGCAGCCTCCTCCACTGAGTCTCACACACACACACACACACACACACACACACACACACACACACACACACACATTGAGAAATGCTGTTTATCTCCCATCACACTCACTCAGGGGAGAGTTCATTTAAACAATTGTTGATCAGAGGAGATGAGATTTGATTTGATTAGTCATGACTACAGACCACAGGAGAGCTTGGCTGGAGTCTCTCTTTCTCTCTGCCCATTATCTGATCCGCCTTCCTTAATCCCTTCACATCTCTCCTTACATATCTCTTATTTTCAATATGAGTCAACCACCTTGAGTGACAGAAGGGTGTTTTCGTGTTTCACTAACCCCTTTTTTTAAGCAGCTTTGGAGGCTTCAGTCCTCAACACAGCAGGTCTACTGTGTAGTGTCCCAGTATATTACCTCCTATCTCACTTGTTGAATGCCACCCCCTCCCTCCTCCTCCTACCCCACTCCCTGCAACCCCCCCACCCTCCCTACCCCTACCCCCCCACCTACTTCCCACTTCCAACAGAAGCTCAGAGTAAACCCTACTACTCAGATTACTCCCCCATTCGCCGACTCATCCACAAGATGTGCACCAGCCCCCACCTGGATCTGTTCATCACCATCGTCATAGGACTCAACGTCATCACCATGTCCATGGAGCACTACAAGCAGCCCAAGGTCAGATCTGGGGGGAGGAAGGTGGGGTAATGATGGGCTCTTTGCTTCAAATGTTCATACCTGCGCTTGAATAATAATTGCAAATTTGTCCTAGAGTTTGTCTTACTCACTCAATGCAGTACCATTTCAGATAAAGTGACATCTGCAATCGGATACAATGCAGCCTGTTTACATACTGCGTTAGTCCTACAGCGACAAGGGGTGGGAATCACCAAAGGCCCCACAGTATGATATTATCACGATACTTAAGTCAGGATACAATACTATTGCAATTTTAAATGTGTTGCGATATATTTAAAATTGCAATAACATATATTGCAATATATTGAGATTTATTACCTTTTTCAAGTGCAAATTATGTCCCCAAAGAAAAATTTATCTGATAAGATAAAGATAAAGTTTACAGTCAGTTCATCTCACTTCGGTCATTTTTATTGCGGCAAAAATGTATCTAGTGGACTGAAAAAGCAATTGATTTCATTATTCTAGTGGGCTACTAAAAGTTTCATTTGTATTTGCAAAATTTATTCAAAATGTATTATTTATTTAGTGAAAAAAGAGATACTTGGTGTCCATGTAACGATACAATATTGCCATACAAAAATAGTGTGATACTATGCTGCATTGATTATTTTCCCCAACCCTAGCAGCGACTGAAAACTGCATAACTGATTCCAGTGCGTTGGTACAGTGCAGATTTAGTCTCTGGTTGTAACTGTTTGAAAGACATTTTCACCGTGCCACATATAATATTCAGGCAAAAATACAAAATTCTGCCAGATGTTTTATTTTCATTTATTTATATGGCATAAATATTATTAAATGAAAAAAATTAACATTGGCACGGAATATTTGCTATCTTAAAAAAATATCAGTATCTGCACTGGCCTTTAAAACGTGTCACTGGATTATTACTTTTAGTGTGCGTTTAAATGAGGGCGCGTTTACCGCGTTCATGAGAAGAGCCCCCCCCCGTATCATTCATGACCTAATAAGTGGAAATTTTCTGAGTTTACGACTTTGCGTACACGACTTCCCATGTCGTAAACAAGTGCTCACGAGCTACATTCACAGCATAAATCTTTCTGGAACAAAGGTTTATGGCTTCACAGGACTTCAGATAGTGTAAGTTATATAATATGTGCCAATAATAATAACATGCCAATAATAATAAAAAATAGCCTTTCGAAAACACCCTTCCTCCCTTCTTTAAACAAGGGTAAGGAAAGGGATCAGGTCAACAGAAAAATAAATAAAAATAAGATAAGAATTGTTTGCTAAGAAAGGCAATGATGAACTATGAAAGAGAGGTCAAAAAAATAAACATAAAACTATTAGTCAATAAAAGAGAAAAAGCCATAAAAAAGGGTTAGAATTAATCCTTCAAACTGTATAAATTTAAGGTAATCTTGGGTACAACAAATTCCGCCAATCTTGTACACCAAAAAGGTAATACAAATCATATGTATCCAAAGTATCCACATCAAGGTCTGCCATGGATACTGATATTTATAGCCCATATGTTAATCGCCACCAGGCAGGTGTTCCAGCTAGGATTTGTCCTCCACTCATTAGAAATATCTCTATTGCTTCAACATATTGTTGACCACCTGCTTGATCAGAACTCTAAGTTGGAGGCAGAACAAAAGATGGTTAAGGGCGGCAGAGGGAGAGCTGGTATTTAGCAAAATTCCACCAGAACAAAAGAGACAGAGATGCAGCACAAAAGAGAGAGGAACCAGCTGAAGAAAAAATGACAAGAATACAGTGAGTGGTTACAGGACAGATTAAGATGTAGAATGGCATAGTAGATGGGAATGGAATAGAGGAGGAGGACGTAAGGGTGTTACGTAGGAAGAATAGAATAGTAGAAATAGTGTGGGGAAGAATAGGACTTTTGGTAAAGTAAAGGGTTTTTATGGAACAGAGGTTGTTGGGTAGAATTTTAGACTGTATAAAAATAGTGGATACAGTTACCTAATCAGCGATGTCATTGCAGTAGCAACTTGCCAATCGACGGCACCCACCTCTTACTCAAAGCAGCCACGCCCTTAATTATACATAACTTTAAGCCTTTATGAAAGTAAACGGGTGAGTTCAATCCATCAAAGTTCAGTTCAAATCTATCCCCTGTACAGTTGACAGTAATGGAGAATTTAGCTCTAGAGACCAAAAGCGTTTTTGTACCAGACTGTAAACATGTTTATGTCTGCTGTAAAGTTGGATATTTTAACATGGTTGTCTATGGGGCTTGACTCACTTTTGGTGCCACCCTCAAGTGGCCACTACAGGAACTGTAGTTTTTGGCACTTCAGCGTCAACCCCAGAGATTGCTGCTCGGCTAGATTAGAGGATACTTAAGTCAGAGATGTCAAAGAATTGACCAGTGTTACACAGATAATGAAAGGTTTTTTGGTAGAATAGAGTGTCTAGGTAGAGGAGGGTCTTTGGTTAGTGTAGAGAGCTGTGATGTTGAGCAGGTTGTTGGGTAGCATAGAAAACAGTGAAGTAAGGAGACATATCAGAAACTGGAACTAGCTGTGAGTTAATGAATTGCCACCAGTGAGGATTGTGTGAAATCTCCATTGACCACCAGTTCTCTTGCTGTCTCGCTGCTAAAGGTCAGTTTTTACATACAGATGGGCACTCTAAATTCTCCCACAGGCAAAAATGGACACTTTGATTCTAATGGCCTTTTCATGGAGAATGAGGGAGGGAGGAGTGGAGGGCGATGTGAGTGATCTATTAATGGAAAGGCTAATTCTGAAGAAGAGGATAGAGTTTACAATATGGACCTTGAAGACTGTAAATGCAGGAAAAATATGTATGTAGAGCAAGAAATATCCACCATAGCAGGCCATTAGTGTAACTGAATCACACTAAAATGGTTTTCCTTTTAAGAAGTGAAAAACATTTCTGTAGGGTGAGATCATTTCATTGGTCTTCAGTGCAGTTTCAGCACATTTCATTAAACGAGTGGCAATGAAACCCGCAAAAAAACCCCGAAACTCTGCTAAGACAACAGCAAATTTAATGTGAGGTTTACTGACTTGTTATGATTGATACTTGTGTACTTTATTGATCTTTAATATTTCTCTCCCTGAAATCCTCAGGAGTTGGACAAGGCATTGGAGATCTGTAACTACATCTTCACCCTCATCTTTGTGCTGGAATCCGTCTTCAAGCTGGTGGCCTTCGGCTTCCGACGCTTCTTCAAGGACAAGTTAGTATTTAACTACTATGCTTCCCATAGTAACGCAGTGACCTCTGTCAAACATCTCCGACACAGATCAGACAGTAATCCTGAATAAACATTTATCTCCCCGTTTAGGGTTTTGACATTTTAGTGGACGTGATATTGTAATAGAGCGGCTGTTAAAGGTACCGTTCTTTAACCTCTGAGTCATGTGGAAAATCTGAGGCAGTGTTCGGAGGGCTCAAATGAGCTTTTTCTAAGGTGCTCCAGTGGATGGTTCTCAGTGAGCCTGTATGAATACAAACGGCCTCGTTAAACACCCATAAAACACGCTGCCTTAGATGATTTCATAGCTTTGAAATCCCTGGCTTCCTGCTGAAAACCACACAATAATGCACAAACACAATCACAAAAGCACAAATATAAACTACCACACATCACATGTAAGTGAATACACACACTAACACACACACCTCATCGGAGGCATCATGTTTTTGGACTAGTGCTGACCACCAAAGGCTCCATGATGTCCATTCTCTTTGCCAGAGTAGACAATTATCCTTTTTGCATTTTGGCTGAAGTCCAGTTTGATATTACCTCAATACACATATACTCACACACAGGTACACACAAACACAGCATTCAGCCAAGACCTCCAGGACTAATTTGAAAATCTCATTGGCTTGTAAGTTGATTTTCTTGTGTTGATTCACACACTTTGGGTATCTAAATAAGGATGTGAGGGACATACTACAGAGTGGACTCTGAAACCTGCTCACAGAGAAGAAACAATAGACACTGACAGACCTGATTAATACGACCACCCACCACTGACTTTTACTCTCATATTGTTCCAAACATTTTCTTTCAGTGCACATTTATTGCACAGAGGCTGGAAAATTAGTTTTGGTCCCAACACTTTGATCTCAAGTCAAGTTACAGTACCTGGGAAAGAAAGTAGCCTGCTGACTCCCGATCTGAGTGTGCCAATTCATCGTTATGATACACTAAAATAAAATGATACCATTGCTGCTGTTTAAATCTGCCTCATAACACTGAAATAGTCTGCACGCTCCCATGCATCCACATTGAATTGTCTCTAAATTTAAAGTTTATGTGATTAGTTAACTGTGTGTGTCAAACACTCACCCCGTAGGCTTGGAAGCTTGTAAAAATCTTGTTGTTTGCTCCTTCACAAAGCGCTGCAGCTGTTGGCAGCTTAGGTTCCTGTCAGTTACACTGAATTCCAGTGACAGGTTTTTATAGCAGAAAAAAAGTTTCAAGATGTCCATAAGAACCAATTAAACTACTTCTGCAGCACTTCTATTGTCAATCTTCTTTTTGTCCATCCAAATGATTAGTATGTTTCCAGGACTCATTAAGATATGTTCATTAAAATAAAGTGTAGCTTAACACACAGCTTCTGTTTATTGCTCTGACTAAGCATGCATGTGCAGTGCAGACAGATAAAGTAATTTCAAATCAACAGAACTGTGGAGGCACCTGATCAGTATAACGCAGAACTACATTGTTCTATTCCTGACAAAAGTCTGATATCTTGTACTTTACAAATGTATTACTGTTGTCAATAAAACCACACCAAAACCAAGAACGGTTCCAAGAAGATATTGGACATACAAAAAGAAATTGTTTCAAACCGTGGGAAAGACATTTGTTAGCTTTCCAAACATTAGATGAGACCAATGCCTCTCTCGTGTCTCCACAAAAATATGATTTTAGAGCCAGTAGATGGTTAGCTAAAGACTGGAAATGGTGGAAAAGCTAGCCTTCTCTGTCAGAAGGTAACAAAACCCTCCTACCAGCACCCCCAAAACCTCAAAAAACACATTATATATTGTCACCGTGAGGTTCCAGGAAATCAATGCGCCCAGCTAAGAACAGTCTGGCACATAACTCTTTGTAAAACAGCAACTTCTGTTACTTTTGGTTTTATAGGGATTAACCCAGGGGTGGAGCCAGATGTAAACATGTGGGGCTCAGCCCAACGGTAGGGGGGTCTGGGGGCATGCCCCCCCAGGGAGAATTTTCTTCCCATTTCAACAGCTTTATGCACTATTTTTCAAGCCATTGAGATAATAAAATGCCTAAAATTTATTTTGAGCCACAATGGATCATTTGGTAACTTTTCAAGCAATAGACTATGACACACCGTCCACCTCAGGAACACCTAGGAAAGTGCAGAGGGTGAAGCTAATGCATGTAGCCATGCTACACCTGCTGATGACTTAGAGATACAGACATGCACAAACAAGAGAAGACCCAAAAATATTCACAGAATTATCTCCAGTCCAAATCCAATGTATGTAGCAAGGAGTTCATGCTCCATCCCTTTAAGCTAAAGGGGCTTTGGCCTGAAAAACATTGAAGATGCTTGCTATGACGTGCTGATTAGTGAGCTTTACAGGTGCTGGTAGGTGGTCTCTGCTACCTTTGAAAGAGCCAGGCTAGCTGTATCCTCCTTATTCCAGTCTTGGTGCTAAGCTAAGATAACCTCTTCTGGATGTGGTATTTATCCTCTCATGCTTGGTTAAAGTTCTTTAGGTACAGAGCTTCTTTAAACTGAAACTTTAGTAATATGAAAAATGTACACAAGATTTACACACACTCTTAAAACCAAGAGCCAAAATTAGTGCATGAAATTTTTTATTGGCAGATGTCAGCACAGGTGTTCACTTGTACTTGTACTTGACACTTTTGTGTCCCTTCATTTGTGAAGCGCGTTGAGGATGGCAGGTGCTGAAACATATCTGCTATAATGAGTTGAACTGATTCTGGCTTTGCTTTCCCAAGAGTGAGGGCTTCTGGGAATTCAGTAATTCAGAAGTATTTGTTTCGAAGTCAAAATTGAGTTGCAAGTCTTGCTAATCTTATCAAGTCTAAAGTTATCAGATTTAGGTCCAGGTCATTTGACTCGAGTTCACATCTCCATACCAAAGAAAATGACTTATCAGAAATGATTGATGATATGTGCAGATCAGTTTTTGCAACCAGTTTAATTTATCAGAGGTTTCAGTGGAAAAAAAAGTGATCTAAGTCAGAGGCAGGCACTGATGTGTGTGTGTGTGTATGTGTGTGTGTGTGTGTGTGTGTGTGTGTGTAGGTGGAACCTGCTGGATCTGGCCATTGTGCTGCTGTCCATCATGGGCATCACTCTGGAGGAGATTGACGGCAAAGCTTCATTGCCCATCAACCCCACCATTATCCGCATCATGAGAGTGCTGAGGATTGCACGAGGTATGAACACCGTCTCTCTCCCCCCATCCATCCATCCATCCATCCATCCATCCACCCACCCGCCCATCCCCTCCCCTCCCTGACATACCTTCCCACAGACAAAGACACACTCTGTTCCTCTCTTTCACAGTGCTGTACTTTTAAGATGCCTTGTAAAACAGCCACGTCCCTGGGACTCCCCTCTTTATCACTTTTGCATGGCAGGTCTCAGTGGGGTTCGGGCAGGGTGTGAGTCGACCAGATGGCACAGAGAAACACAGTAAGCTGGCAAACGCAGCACTGAGAAGCAGCAGAGAGTTAAAATGTAGAGACAAAGACTGAGGAATGGGAGAGATGAGGAAAGATAGCTCAGGGTGGAGGAGAGTCAAGACACATTATGACAGTAAGTGAATTAAGCAGCGAGAAACTGAGACTAGGTATGGAGGGAATAATTGAGAGGAGAGGGGGATGAGAGGAGAAATAAAAGGAAGAGGCGGGGGTGATAAATAACTTCTGACCTGAAAATAGATTATGAGAAGATGAAAAGAAGTTGGAAAGAGGAGCAGTTGATGTTAGAGTGAAAAAAGTTGAGATGAAGTGAATGAGAAGATAAATGAACGGAGGAAAGGTATGTCGTGGGTGAGAGAGACATACAGTATTTCTGGAGAGAGAATAAAGGGTTGAAATGGGTGGAGAAGGCTCAGAATTAGGAATGTCGAGCTAAAGAGACAGGTTGGATTTGGCAGGAGGTAAGAAGAGGAAGGAGAAAGCAAAACTGTCTGTGTGCTTCAGGCTGACTTACTGTCCAGGTAATTAAAGATAAGAGAGGATTGGAGGGAAGGAAACAGGACTAAGAGGAGAGGAGGCCCGACAGAAAGAGGAGATAAGACAGACAGGAGGGAAGCTCATCTGTTTTGTCTGATTACTGATCGTGTAATAAAAGAAGTAGCAGGGAAGTCGTTATTGATTACTGTCACACAGAAGGCACAGGCACAAACACATGCTCTTGTGTGTAATGTGTGTGTGTGTGTGTGTGTGTGTGTGTGTTTGGCTGGGTACAATAGTTGGCTCGTTTTCTATCTGGCATCAACATGCATATCATGTTCCATGTTCAGACTGTATCAGTTACACACTGGCTCCATTGTAATCACATTTTATCACAATCTGTCCTTGCCAGTGTTGATGTACAAGTTACATCTTCGGTTTAAAGCTGAACTTTTCATCTCACATTCCGATTTAAACAACTTTGTTCTATTCAAACTGCCTAACAATAGCTATCTAAATTGTTAATATATAGTTTTTCAGTATCCTTTTTAACTCTTTTGCTAAAAGCAAAAACAGTGAAACACAAAACCTTAAGACCCCCTTTACACCCTTTATTAAAATGCATCTTGTGACCAGATTGTTTTAGATATGTTGATTAATACATGTCTCCAGTATCCACATTGAGATCCATATTCAGATCACAACTTATCATCTTCATCATCATCGATTCCACTGTTGTCATCCTCATTGCAACTGGCACTGCTGATGGAGTCCATGCTAATGTTAGCATCTTCAGAATCTTCTGACACCTCCGTCACCATGGCAAAATGTGGGTTGATCACCCAGCAGCGCATGCAGTCTATCAAAAAATGGGCAAGTTACCCTGCCCCTGCCACTATTCATGTTGCTATCCTTTGCTGTTCTGTATTTGAATTTATTAAAGGGTAGCCCCTTGAGATGTAGCATCTCATTTTCAAGGGGGTCCCTATGCCAGCTAGTACTGCCCCCTGAAAGTCAAAGATTCAAATAATCAGTCAGAGCTCCCTCATTCCACTTAGATTCCTTCAAGTCAAGCAGTGGTTTCTTTTTTTGTCATTCAGTGTGCAGTGTAGGTCGTTTCAGTCCCCAGATTTAGCTGCAAAGTGTCCAGTACAGACAGCTGTGGACCCAGACCCAGGGTAAGATGGAGGAAGCTGCCCACAGGAAGAGAGGCTTTGCCCGACCAGGCTCAAAGATAACGTTATCTTCTGCCTACTGCTTTGAAGCAGTGAATTTACAGCTCGCAGCAACTTTGGCCAACATTTGATATCTAGTGTCAGCAAAAAATCGTTAGTGTAGTCATCTTGCATTAGCTCGGAGGGCTAAGTTGGCCTGAATGCCGCTGTTACCCTGACAGTCCCACTGAACCTTGCTCAAATTCTCAAGCTCTTCATGAAAAAAATAATTAAAAGTCAAATATTCCTATTGAACTATTCTGAGTTGGGTATAGCCCTAATGCCAGTTTCATTTGTTACTTTTTCGTTGCCATTGTAGCCAGGACCGCATGTAGCCCTTCTCAACCATTTGCTTAGCCATTCTTTCATAAATGGCTCAGTTCCAATATGAATTGCCATGTCTTGCTTGTATAATTTTGTGGGACCACATTGAAAGCAGACATTGGTCTCGTCTGGACTCCATTCAGGGGTGCCTTGAATATTCATAAGCTTCATGTTCAAGTTAGACATGATTCCATATTTTTTCCCAAGTGGATAGAAATCCCAAGTGCACTTATGTTCAGTGTGGTCACAATGTGTCCCTGACCACCTCCAGAGGTGGTTTGGCTGATCCAATCACAATCCATCCTCAAAGCGTTTTGGGTGCATTTACGCCTCATGTTGTCAGGCACTATCTGATTGCAATCCGATCACCCAAAATGCAGTTCAATGCAAGATGTAAAGAGGGTCTACCAGATGCAACAGTACTATAGTTAGAGAGTGAGAGAGATGTCAATCAATCTCAGTTTGTGACACCAACAAGGTCCTAAGGAGAGGTCTCATCAGGCAACACTTGTGTCGGTGGATGATGGGTGTGAAGAGGCTTTAAGTACAAACAAGTATCCCCGGAGACATGCTGACACATCTCAGTAGAAAAAGCAGAAGTGTTAATAGTAGAATTAACGTTTGCTGAATGTCATTTAACTGCTTCAGTTTCAGGGTCCTGGTTTGTTACTCAGAATACACTAGAGCCATTGTTAATGTATTTCTACTGTGACAACTCAAGGATGCTATGGAGAGAAATGCATTTTGATTTGATGCGATGGGCAGAAAGGCAGGATTGCTGAGAAATGTGTGATGACTTTATTGTTTTGACTTTTTGGTTACACCCACCGGTGCATGAGGTCACTATGCAGTGAGTATCAGCAGCAGTCTTCCTCTGGCTGTTTGACTGGATCTTTAAATTTGCTAGGATGGGCTGCCAATCAAGCTGCTTCCTCTTTTACTGTTGTTTACAATCTTTCCCTAGACCAGACCAATTTTATTAGAACATCCAGTATGAGCATGAACACTTAAGGGATCATGCAGGGATCACAGGATTCATACATATCCAGGCATACATTTAACATGCTAAATTTTCTCACTAATATTGCGCATTCTTAAAAGAATAGTTTGACATTTTGGGATATGCCTGTTTGCTTTTAGTCAAGAGTAGGACAAGATGATCGTTACCACTCTCATGTCTTTATGGTAACTATAACAAGAAAGTCAACAGCCCCTTAGCTTAGCACAAAGACTAGAAGTGGATCGGGAAACAGTTAACCTGTCTCTACGCAAAGGTTAAAGAATCTTGTTTTCTTTGATCATGTTTGTTTAACTTACTTGTGTAGGTTTAGGTAATGAACCTACTTGTGTAGATTACATTAAAAAATCTAAAGTCTTTGCAGTTTTGCAGGGAGTTACTTGTTGGAACCATTTCTTGGTACAAGTCTTGTTGGAGCTTTGTCGTCACTGTGAGGTTGCTAGGTAACCAGTGGAGACTTCTGGAAGTCACTGACCCAGAGCAAGAAAAAAATAACATTTCTGGCAATCTCTACTTTTCCACTTATTATTATGCATTATCTGTCAGTCTTGGTGCACCTTCATTGATACCCCATTGCCATACCGGTGACCTTATCAAACCGCAACCCCAATCAGAGAGATATGACCTCAATCAGGCGATGTAAAAGCCTAATGTTGTTCAATAAAAGGAAATCTGCGACCACACTAAAGGAGCAGGATTAGTCTGTAAGTAAGGAAGAAGTTGAGTCCTTTCAATTTCATAGAAGGCGTGATGGCACAAGTCCCTTTTCTGTTATATAAGACTGAACAATTTTAATATTGGTGAGACAATCTTTCATTTTCTGTGTGTGTATGTGTGTGTCCCCACAGTTTTGAAGCTCTTGAAGATGGCGGTGGGGATGAGAGCTTTGCTGGACACCGTTATGCAAGCCCTGCCTCAGGTACACAGTCAATTCTGTTAAATAACATCCACCAAAGCCACTGAATTATCTTTTCCTTCCTCATCCTCATTTTCCTCCATGGGCCTTTCATTTCCTACCACGTCCCACAGAAGCTGTCCTTAAAATTACATCCCAGGAGCAATTCTTTTTTGGTACATAGTCTTCTGTTTCAGGGCGTCGTCGTTTCCCATGAGCTTTTTATCAACTCTAGAGACCCTTATTTGCATAACCACCCCCTGCAGAGATTGGGAAGAGAATGTAGCTTCGGATTTTGTTTTGAACGTTGGTGGGTGGATCGGAGGGTGGTGGAGTTGGTAAATTAGATCAACTTCCACAGTGTTTGGATTGAGATAAAAAATAACAGTCAATCCTGTGTTCACAGCATTCTTTGATACTACCTCTGTAATTCAGGGAGAGAGTGAGTGTTGTTCCAGGCTAATTCCTCCTAGAGCCTGTCAGAAGTGTTCATGATTAATAAATCCGATAATGGGGGGTGGTGGGAGTGTGAGCAGGTTGCCACATGCTGATTAGCATTGACAGTAGCAGCAGCCACAAATCCTACAGCTTTCATTACCTAAACCCACCTCTCTATCAAAGCATCTATTCCCCGTTATCTTTTTTTTACTCTTGTCCAGGATCAGTTGCACTATTAAGCTTCTCATATTTTTATCCAGATTTTGCTTCTTCTTCTTTGCTTCAGTCACTCATTCACGGCATTAATGCATGGCACATAGGCAGTTCACAGTGAAAACGGAAGCAGATTTACTACCTGAAATTATTACTAGTAATTTTTTAAAACAATGATATCTTGATTTCAGACAGAAGTGCAGTAGGTACTCTGCCAGCACAAGAGCAACCTTAAGTGACATAAGTGTACGGGGATTGGTCGAACACATGAGCCAAAGCAGTACCAGCAACTGCCATTTTCAAAAACCTGTTGACCTTGTAAACAACAGACAACATAAAACCAAAAAGCAGCTCCAAACAAAAAAAGTGGAAGACAACATGGACAAATGGACCAACAGTGAAGTCCAGATACGCCGTAATTTTGAATCGTCAAAGGGGAATATAATAATCGTTGGTAGCCGGCATATGTCACTTCAGCGTTCCTGTATTGGGGCGCTTGTGGCTCAGAACGTAGAACGGGTTGTCCACTAATCAGAAGATTGGTGGTTTGATCCCTGGCTCCTCCAGCATGTTGAAGTATCCTTTGGCAAGTTACTGAACCAAAATTGCTCCTGATGGTTGTGGTTAACTACTAGTGTGTTAGTACATGTGAATGGTTGACTAAGTAGTGAGTGTCATGTGCAATTTCCATGTTAGTGCCGCTATTGGTGGTGCAAGTTTGCCTGATATCAGACAGGATTGTCAGCTTGTTACACTTTGTTTCCATCTTAAGTCTGACAGTGCATTCACTCTGATTGATTTCTGTGGGGGAGCAAGATTCAATTCTCCTTAACCAGTCACTGGAGACTGTTATATCTGCCTGAATCTAACGTCATTTTAAGTCCAGGTGCAGGTTTTGCTCTAGGTTTTAAAGTGGAGCAGAGGGAAGTAAAAACAAACTACAATGTCATGTGATATTGAGAAGACATGCAGATTTAGAACAACCTTGACAGCAGCATCTATTATGTGTATAGATGAGTCAGTCAACTTGGTGTGGTTGGTGGATTCCAAGGTCTGGACCCAGGCAGGGTGCAAATGCAAACAGAAAAAATACCCTTGAAGGTATAGTTCTCGGAAGAGCTTCCCAGCGCACAATTTCTCACGGGGAGTCCCCAGAACTGATCATTCCGAAAACACCCTCTCTGACTCCTCTGACTTTTTAATGTGTCCAGGTGATGGAATGCAAACCCTGCAAAGGGCTCTTGAATATGCGCTTGATTGTGACATACATTGCATTGTGCTCGAAGACTGAGGCTAAAGCTGCACGCCCCCGATATAAAGCCATATTATTTCCAGCTGATGACTCACGCAGAAGGTCTAGAAATAAAGAAACTGCAGTGTAACCTACTAAGACTAATCAATTTATTTAACGAACGTAATGTTAAAAAATCTAGCAGAGCTACTAATCTTAGTCTACCCAACAGTGTCATCAGAGTGGCTCCCACACAGTGGGGAAATACTACACTGTAGATGTGCTACTTTTCAGAGATTTTTTTTTTTTCTTTAAATCCACTAAATAATGTATTATGAAACGTTCAACTAAAGCTTACTGCTCCCCAGCTAGTTTGCTAGACGTGCTAACATTTGCAGCTTATGTTAGAAGAAATAAACACACTGTTAAATCCATTCCTTACATTTGTTTTCTGGTTTTGGAAAGGGTGCAAAGAAAGAAACCACCATCTAAGCTCTTTAAAGGTGGAGTATCGCTCTTACTACAGCCCTATGCTTACCGCTTCAACATGCAGGCAAATCCAAAGCTTGACAGGCCTGCCATGCCTAGTTACAGTTGCTCAGCTATAATTGGACAATAGCTGTTCGGTTGGTTTTTAGCGAATGGTCAGTGGCCATATCTTATATTTTCTCTTGGCTGCTTCCTCATGACCCTGCATTCATTTTCTCACTGGAATGAGCTGTTTGTTGTCTCTCATTATTGGTTTATTTTGCCTGGGATTTCTCTCCTCTGACTAATCCCTCTCTCTTCCTGTTGTCTCTCTGCAGGTGGGGAATCTGGGTCTTCTCTTCATGCTTCTCTTCTTTATCTATGCAGCCCTGGGAGTGGAGCTGTTTGGTGACTTGAGTAAGGACACACGCAGGCAGTCGGGCACACCAGACAGAGATTCACACACATACATACCACTCAGGCACGCAGGCTTGCACCAAGTGTTTAATTCTCCCCTCTGTGGGTTTAATCTATCTGATGTTAATTGCTTTCTAAAAACCCTTTGTTGAAATGCCATATTGATTTCTCTTTTTCAAAGTGTAGCTAGTAGCCTAGAGAGTAATAAAATACTATTACAGTTATTAACATTTTGTTGTTACAACTCTTCTTATCTTCATGACTCTCCTTTACTGTCTGGCTGTTCCCCTCCATCTTCTGTCATCCCCTCCCTGCTCCACCTTGTCCTCCCAGTCTGTGATGAACTCCACCCATGTGAAGGTCTGGGGCGCTACGCCTCATTCAAAAACTTTGGGATGGCATTTCTGCTGCTATTCAGAGTTTCCACTGGAGACAACTGGAATGGCATAATGAAGGTGAAACTGACACTGCAGCCTTGGATCCTGAAGTCATAAATACACATACTGCACCATCATTATTATTACGTATATTATGCACATCCATTCAGCAGGAACACAAGAGGCAGATTTAGTGGTCATGTGTTGGCACAGGAACCAATTTTTCTGCAGGTTACTACAATTCAGTGCTGTCCCTCCCCTCTATTCATCTTGCAAAAGCTGATTCTTTTTCACCCAGGGCCAAAAAATAGTAGGTTGTAAATGTTAGCTGTCGCTGTGCTTTTTTAGTTCAAGATTTGGTCAAATTTGAGCTTGAAAACAATTATTAGCATCTACATTGGCAGTTATGCCAAAATAGCACTTTTATGAGTTTCGTCTGTTGTCTCTGTGTTCTATTTCAGGTCAGAATCCCTACAAATCATGTTTATATTGGACAGTGGTGCAACACAGTGAAGTCCCTTGCCAACATTCAGTGCCAGTAGTAGTGGTGTGCTTTTTGTGTGGTGAGGCAGAAAGTAAGAGCGTGGAGGTCGTGGTGATGGATGCAGTGCATCTGACTTTCTCACCAGAGACCTGACTTCATGTCCCATTCTTATGGCTGTTTGTACCATCAACATGATCTTTATCTAACCTTAACCATATTGTCGCTGAAGTTATCCATGCAGGAATATTGCAGCCATGCAAACAGCTCTGTGAGGCTGTACCATAGAATGTATAAAACAATCCATAGCCATGATGTCGCCCATTGCTTTTTGGATTCCTGTTATGAAATCTTGATTGTGGCATTTTGTCCTGTCACCATCTTGGATTTTTGGAGCCAGAAGTGACCATTTTTGGACGAGAGGGTGGAGCTAACCCTGATGCTAGCTGTTAGTTTGTTTAGCATGTGCATTTACAGGTATAGCTAACTATGATAATGGTAATACTAGCAAAAAAAAAAAACAGCCATTAGAGCAAAATGTATGTACTGGAAAACTGAACATCCAACTACTAAACAAGACTTTTGTAGGCAACCAAAACATTACAATTAACTTTCATGAACTGAAAACACTCAGCATTTCCGGCAAGGTTATGTAATCTAACCAACGTTGTTGCTGTGGTAGCAACATATGGCATGCACCTGCCACTTAAAGTGGACATGCCCTCACAGGGCTGGACAGTGCGACATACCTATACGCCACACGTGCTATGCAGAAATTGGTCCATGCTATGACTAAAATTATCATGCTATGTAGCTTTGCGCTGCTTGTGTGAGACAGAGCCACTTGTTTGTTTAAGCTTAGGGTTTGTGTGCTTGTTTCTTTGTGAGGTGAATTGATAGTGTATTTCTATTTATAGTACACTGTGATACAGAGCCTGAATACAGGCTACAGATCTGTTCATGAAATGCAGTGCCATGACGATACAGCCCCTTTGTACACCAGATGCACTGTATATAATGCAGACATGCCGAACTGTACTACACATGCAGCCTGTATCCTTGCAAGAAAGTGGAAACACTATAGTATTAACATGAAGTTTAAACTTTTATAAATTGATGTTCTTTATAAAACCTGGTTTTAGGAGGTGCTGCAACCTCCTCAGCACCACTCCCTCCCACGTGCATGGCAAGTGCATAGAAAATAATAATATTATAAAAAGATATTTAAAACAGTGTCTACCTTTTTTCAGCAATATATTCATTTGAAAGGTCATGGAAAATGACTTTTTAAACTGCACCCAACAAAAAATGTAATTCGTGTCAAAGCACATGGACATATTTGATACTTCTATTTGCATGCTACAACTTTGTGGTCTGTGCTACAAAACTTTGAACCTCTGTACCACCTGTGCTATGTGCAAAAAAGGTTATCATACAGCCCTGCCTTATTAACTGTAACTTTAAGCACTAAATGAAAAGCTGATCATGAACGTCAGCAGGCTTTTTCCTCTGGGCAACATCAGGAAATGCTTTCCAATAGCTGTCAAGACACTTCAGAACTGACTAACTGACTGACGGGGGAATGCAATTGCTAGAAAGAAAACAGTGCCATTGGGCATTCAGATTGTCCTTATTAAACGTTTTGCAGAATCAGTGTTCTGTTTGAGAACTGCTTGCTGGTAAAGTTTTAGCTCATGTGCTCATGTCATGTTTTCATGTTTCTTCCAGGACACATTAAGGGACTGCGCTCAGGACACCAACACCTGCTACAACGCCGTGGTCTCTCCCATCTACTTCGTCTCCTTTGTTCTGACCGCTCAGTTTGTCCTCGTCAACGTCGTCATTGCTGTCCTGATGAAGCACCTGGAGGAGAGCAACAAGGAAGCCAAGGAGGAGGAGGCAGAGTTGGAGCTGGAACGGCAGTTAGAAGCGGGAGAGACAGCGCTGAGGTCGCCCCAGCTCAACCCTCTGGCACTGGGCACGGACAGATCGAGTTCTGGGGGCTCCCCCTGGAGGTCCACTGGAGGAGGGGACAGGGAGCAGGAAAGAGATGGTCCTATGGACTCGCCCACTGCTGATATAACCAGAGACCCTGTAAACATCAGAGCAGACCCCCCTTCTTGCCTGGATCCCCCACTGGAGGTGAGGAATATGTTTGGTATTGCTTGTACATTATGTATGAGTGTGCGTTAGAGATATCTGGAGTGTGTTTTGGTTGTTTTGTTATGACATCCCTGAGGGCACTTATAAAATTCTGTGTGCATAACTGTGTAGCTACATGCATTAACTTTAAATGCCTTAATCACACAGTTATGAGTATTATCACAGTGTGTGTGTGTGTGTGTGTGTGTGTGTGTGTGTGTGTGCGTGTAGATAAGGTCCACATTATTGCACACACGTAAAAGTGAAACATGCTATCATATATTGTCTAGGTCAGATTGTTCGATTCTCAGTGGTCCACTCAGCATACTGCATGACATGACAGATGCTCTGAGGTCACTTCCTGCTGGGGGCCAAGCTGTGAGGCCAGTCAGATGACCCCCACGTCTCCGGTCATTAATTCTGACTCTGGTCCAAACCATTAGTTAATTCTCCGGCCCATGCTGAGGGACACTGAGCATTATGGATTGTATCTGAAATAATGGATTTCTTGGAAGGAATGTCTCTTCACTGTCTTAATGTAACAACCATAAACCATATGTAAACAAACTATAGCGGATATGGCCATATTAGGACATACTCACTACACATTCTGGCATCATTTCAAAATATAAGTGGATGCATTTATGTGTGATGTGTCCTAAATCAGGATCACAGTTGCAAGTATAAAATATACTCTCTGTAACTGATACTGACCCATATCAGCATGGTTTACAGTGTGTGTGTGTGTGTTCATGATTCTGTGTGTGTGATAGTGTGTGTGTGGCTGGTCCCTGTGGAGGACATGCCAGTCATAGACAGGTCACAGTGCCATGGGAAAGCTGGACCACAGGGTCTTGTTGTTCACTTTAACAGCTATTTCCAGACAGCAGGGAACTTTTTGGGGATAGGAAATAGAGGTCTCGCTATCGTTATGTTTCCCTCTAAGATGTTATCCGTCTCCCTCCGCCACTCTTCCAAAACATTTGTGGTTAAGCCGCAATCTCTTCTCCACCCCTGTGGGAGACCAATTCTACTGCGGTGTTGTAGTGCCCCCTTGTGGGGCATTAAGTGGTAACACATGAGGGCCTGAGGTGGATGTTGGTAAGGAGGAGGTTGTATTCAGTTGCAGCATGAAAATCCTAAGCCATTTAGTAAAGCACGTACAGGATTGAATACTAACTAGGATCTGGTTCTCCTACTTGGATGTGTTTCTTTTGTCTTGATTCTGCTCGTTTGTTTCTGCCTGATCGACTGTCTTTTTCCCTGTTTCTTTCTTGTGATTTACTCTTTCTCTCTACATTTATTCATGTGTCTCTGTCTTGACTTCTGCCTTTCTTTCCCCCTGCCCTTGTCAATTTTTCCAAAACTTCTGCTGTCCCCCACCTTTTCTTTTCCCCTCTTCCTCTCTCTGGTCTTTCCTTTCCTTCTGCATCATTTAAGTTTGTCCAGCGGAGAGCACAGTTTGACTCGGTCTCCCTGGTCATCCAGGGTTCAATGGAGGGAGAGTTGAGTTTGATGGACAACCTGTCTGGCTCTATCTGCCACTACTACGCGCTGCCCCCCAAGCCCAGCAAGCACAGCACCGACAAGAAGGTCAATAATCACCAGAATGATGACTCACTTCCTTCATTTCATATGTCTAGCGGGTCTTATTTCTCTCCGACGTGTAGGGCTGCACAAGTAATCATGACAAAATGAATATTACAATGCAGAGATTGTGATATTTCATTATCAAGAACAAATCCAAAAAGGTTACAGATTGTCTTGTTTTCCGTTACGCAAGGCTGAATACATTCATATTCCTTGTTTTCAATGCAGTGTCACGCAAGGACTTTATTAAAACAAGTGATAATGCATTTAAAGGGTCAGTTCACCCATTTTATCAGTCAGTAGTCTCAAGCCATACAAATAGTCTAGCCCAGGTTTTGATATATCTAACACTGACATTTGTGCATCCACTCCCAGAGCAACAAACATGAAAGGAATTATGTTTTTCTGTTATTCTGCTCACAGCATTTAATAATGAGGTTTTAAAAATGAAACAGCTACATGTCCTTTCAGAAACAACGTCCTGGTCACTTAGGATAATCCACAGACCTCAGTGGAACTACTTTCTCCAGAGGAAATAGTCCCTATGAAAACTTTCCACAGGGTGTTCTGTGGATCATCAGTGGGAACAATGATTCCAGAGAGAGATGTTGTGGTTTTAAATGTAATTTTCCAGTGCTGTGAGCAGCACAAACAAAATTTTATTGACCTCCATGAGTTTTAAAGTGAGTCAGTCTTGTTTGGATCTACAAATCTGTTTTTGGTAGAGTATTACCTGCGTGCCAGTGAAGTTAAGATTCTGATTTGCAGGAAGGACGATTTAGGTGCATTGATTTTCAATGTAGTTATTGATGTGGCTATTTATTTTTTTCTCGACATGTCTTATGTCTTTAAGCATCTCAGCACTATGTTGAAAATATGTTTTTCCCTTTAAAGGGGAACTGTGCCTATTTTCAAAATTCTGACATTGTACTCCTACGGTCTAAGACTGTCCAAAACTATTAGTGAACATAAACAGTATAAGTATAAAGTATAAAGTTTGCTCACAAATATTGATTGAACTTTCCCAGATCATGGAAATAACACTGGAGGTGTTCCCCTTTAATTTAAAACAGAATACCAAAGTCTGTTTTTCAAAATGACGCTTATTTTTCAGACTACTCCTTATCTTCTTAAAGCCCTAACTAGGCCTTTAAAAAAAGGCAAATTACACTTAAATTGAAATGACTCCAGCTCACTGACATGCGATTAGGGGTCGCAAATAGATTTAATTTTGTTTAAGGGGTCACAAGCAAAAAAACAGTTTAGAGTTAAGTAAGAAAATGTTTTGTTTTTATTTGGGTGAACTGACCCTTTAAATAAAGAAGCTTACAAGTATGGAGATGAGCTTGGTTGACTTTTGGAACAATAGATTTTTATTGAGAACAGGTGAAATTATCTCACCACTATTGGCAGAATTCACCGCTTATTTTAATGAAAATAACATTTTATGACTCAATACCACACTAAATTACTTAAAGATGAATAAAGTTTGTAAAGTACAGAATTCCTGGCCTGCACAGTAAAAAGACATCTTTGCATACATTTAGTCCATGGAGCTTCATTTCATAAAATTCATGGAAAAAAACGTGATGTTTTGTACATATCGTGCAGCCCTACAGCCATTACCGTACTGGCATTCCTCCACATTGAATATTTTCCCCTTTCTAACCAGCCCTGTTGCCCACCACAGTGCAGTGCGTCATATCCCGCCTCAGCTATGATCTCATCCCCTCACTCACGTACTCACTTACTTATATTCATTCATGCTTGGCAGGTTTTTGGTCTGGTTCAGCAGCCTCAGTGACATGTTTGAGAGTTTGCTCTGTCTCCTCCACACACTGTTTGTGTCTGTATGTACATAATGCACGGCATGTCCGCGTGTTTATATATGTGAATCCATCCTCTGCCAAACACCATTCCTGAGGCAAGGACATCACACTCTTGCACACAAGTCTGCAGAGTTATGGCTCAGTCAATAAGCTATGGATCACTGTGTCACTGAATAATGCATCCGGGTGCCTCTTTTCCACATTTGAAGGCAAATTTTGGCCAATTACATTAGCATTGCAAAACCCCATCTTCTAAAAGCTCTAAATGGGTTTGAGATGTCATTATTAGATGCCATAGGCCACCTCTCTCCTCCTGATATGCTAGCAGAAATGTTTTCCATTGAGTCTCGGGCCTTGCCCCTCTCTGCTCAGAGGGACCATTTGCCTGTCAGAAAGCATTACCCCTGTTAAAGCAGGTACAAGGCCAAATATACAGCAGCTCCTCTTACAGAAGCCACAAACGCCCAAGGCCTCTAAACACTGCAAGACTGACGGCAACGTTTGCACAGTTCAGTGATGTAGATTACATCAAAACAAGGATAGGCACTTAGAGGCGTTTTGTTTGACTCTACGCCTCCACAGTTTTCAACTGACTGCGCATAACAGCACACACAATATCAATGATTCCCCTCCCTGTCTGCTTGTTTGTTGCTGTGGAAGAGTGTGATTCTCTCATTTGCATCACATTACACACTTTGTCTGTCCAGAATCATCAGGCTGTGCTGGTGTGTCTGGACCCTGTCATAATACAACTGTTGGTAACCCCACAACACAATGATAAATCGTTTAAAAAGCCTAAATGTCTCCATGTGGTTTAAATTTTGCTTTGTCTTTCTTCCTTTCTGCTACATACCTCCAGCTTTATATATGTTGTTTTGAACATGTATTTACCTGTTAGCCACAGGTCTTATCTGTGTGTATCGTCCTTATCTTTATGTGTTGCACGGAGTGTGCGTTTGTTTTCTCTGCTCACCAGCCGTTGTCTCTTCCTGCCTAGATCCCTCTAGCGGAGATGGAAGCTCTGTCTCTGGCCTCTGAGAAATCCTGGTCCCTAGCTCTGACAGACGACTCGGCCCCTGACGATTTTAACCCCCTCTTTCTAACCACTCTGGAATGCAATGTACTGACAGTTCCTCTCTTTCTCTTTCTCCATCCCTCTTCCTCCTCTTCCCCTCTGCAGTATCTTGTAGTGTTTCCTTTCCCAGGGGACTTCCAAAGCCACTTGTCCCCCCACTACTCTCACGCACAGGGATGTAACAGGTGTAGAATAACAGAGAGAAAACAACTGGATGCAAAATTAGCAAAACAGCTAATATTCACCTGTAGTCCCAGCACAACCAAAGACATATAATGCAGCTATAATCTTTTTTATATTAAAAGTGTTATATGTACCTTTCGTTGTTGCATATAACAACCCGCGGACTGATTTTATGTAAAGGACTCAGGATGAATCCAAAGGACTTGACTAGCTAAAGTTAGCTACCAAATGGAGTCAGCTAACGTGAATAAACGACCAACAACGGCGGCCCAGAGCCGGACCTTCAGTTAATGTTATAACTCGAATTCAGTGCTGGCCAGTCTGTCTGGTCTGTATCCGGAGCTGCCGCCCACTCTCCTCCCGGGAAACTAGTGTCCTAGCGGCAGGGAGTGAGGCAGACAGACTTCAGGGTGCAGTAGCTGGTAATTTTTTGTCCCATTTGTGGTCTGACAAAAGTTTATTCATTAAATTTAGTGCCCCATATCATAAGTACAGCAGTGCTGGTGCTGAAAAAAGAAATATGAGAGGAAACGTTGACGTGAAATATATTGTGATATTATTGTTTTAGCTGGCTAATGTTAGCTGGATTGTTAATGCGGACAAATTGCTAGCTCGCTAATCTGTCTTAAATGGACTTTACATTTTGTCACCACCAGCCTCTGTTGGTTAGCTGTGCTGTTTTAGTGGGACGAGACTGCTGGAATGAGAGGTGAGTCATTTAAAAAATTAGGATTTCATACTACAATATGTGCCGGTTGATGGATCAAATACACACTGAATTAAACACCAATTCGATGCCCAGGTGCTCGCTTGTGATTTACATAATGGTCAACAATGGCATTACTAACAAGGATTTTCTAAAAGCTGCATACAGAACCTGTAATAATGGATCACATGACCAGAATATGAAAAGTGTTGCTTAAACTAAAAAACCCACCGAGATTTATCCTCTGATCCTGTAGCTATGCTCAGCTCTACAGAGCTTTATAATGTTTTTCAGCTAATTGTTTTGGTGTTCTGACCTGCAACGTTTCAGTTTTGATTGAGTCTCACTGCTTTTATTGTTGCTTGATAAACAGCTTGGAAAAAAACAGTCAGAAAAACTTTGCAGTTAGGTGAACTTAGTGGAGCATTTAGCAGCTAAAGCTCTTTATAAAAAGAGACAGATATTTCATTCAGGAATTAAAGGAGAATATTTGTGAGTTCTTCGCCCATTCATCTCATTGTGCATTGATGTAGTGCCAAATAATGCAAATGTAGTGGCTCATTTCTTACAACTCATTTGGCCATTTACAGTATGATGGATTACTTTATACCACAGCTACAGAAAATGTGTTAATGCTTTATTTATACAGGTCCAATAGTTTCCGATAGTTTCTTATACGTAACTGTAAATTGAAAGGAAAGGTCTTGAAAAACAACTGTGTCATTTGTTATTAGCTGTAGGTGCAGTGGAGAAAGTGTTCAGTTGGTACACTTCCAGTTCAGTAATTCCATTATATTGCTTACAGTACGTTAAGAGTCTTTTCGTCCGTGGTGTACAGCAACTCAGCAGCACATAGAAAAGGGTAAATCTGTCTAAAAGCATACAGTATACAGTAAGTGCCCAATAATAAATGACTTATGAACATACAGTATGGGACCTTTTGCGGCTTATAAACCAAACATAACTGACTAAAGTAATTCAGAAGTTTGTTTTTATTTTCTCAATAATTAGCCCCAAATGACATCATTCTTACCAGGAAACTTTTGAGGAATTACCAGGAAATGGCATACCCATAATATGAGTGGTACCCAAAATATTTATATGTGAATAATATGAATGCATGTGGCTGGCATGTGTGAGTTAAAATCATATTTAAGAATACGTTAGCCATTGTTGAGGGTCATAAAGTCCAACCACCATTATAAATCAGTGCTTAAGTGCACACACAATAGCAACACTATTTATTTTATGTCCCACTGAAAACAAATGGATCCAGCTGAATTCATGGTAGCACAATAATGCATCCAAAATGTCTGGATCTAGAAAATAATGGACTTGCTGGAAGGACCGGCGCTGCTTCACATCAAAGCGTTCTTTTTCACCACCTCATCCATTATTTGTCAGTTGTCATGCACTGAAGCTTATGTATTCATCCTCACCAGGACTCATCTATACATTCCTCCATGATATCTTGTCCCACTGGGCCCTGTCATTGAAAGGTCATCCTCCACTTTAAGCTGAAAATGAATTAAATGTCAACTAGCTGTCAGGATATAATTAACAACCACTTTGGCTCATTAATGATCACATCACTCCCTTGTAGTCACATGTCTTCCCCAGAGAGGGTCACTGTAACCTTGGCAATCTCAGAAAAAGGAGAAGCCCGGCCAACACATGAGATGAAGTCGCTGTTAATTGGATTGTGCTGGGACGAACACACAAAAAAGAAAGGAGGGGAGTGAGGAGGTAGAGGAGTACAAGAGGCGTTGAAAGACCCTGGTGAATCTAACCATGTGCCCTCCAGCTTTCTCTTCTCTTTCTCATTCCACCTTTCCAGCCGTGTGTTATTCTCCAGTCCAGTCCAGTCCAGTCCAGTCCAGTCCAGTAGAGTAGTGTGCCTCCTCACCTGCCAGTTTGAAGTTTTCTCTCCTTTTACTCTTATCTCTTGATTTCCTTTCTTCTCTCTCTCTTTCTATAACCTCCTTTTCCTTCCTTCTTCTTTTCCTTGGTTTACTGTCCTTACCCTCTGTGCTTTACATGTGAGTCCACGTCTTTTCTCACGGTCCTTTCCTATCAGTCTTCTTCTGTGCTTGTACTTGTCTTCTGTCCTCTGGTGCTGTGGTAGTTTTCACTCTTCTCAGAGTTGTTGTGTGTTTGCTACTGGGGTGAACAGTGCGCTGGAGCTCCAGTAGCTCTGTGATGAATGTGAACTGGTTTTGTAATGGGTCAGGCTGCAGGACACTGCCCCAGCTGACACACAATCACGGAGCAGGCTTGCGTAAAGTTACATGACTTCTGGGGGAAATGGAGACATAAGACGCAGAGTGTGTTGCGCTTGAAAAAAGAAAGTGCTCAGAAATTTCAGCCTAGCACAGTCTCGTTTCTGTGATCTGTGGCAGCTTTGTGCCAGTCAACTCCAACATGCAAAGATCCTGTCTGTTTTCTGTGTATGCTAATGACCACCACCTCTTTGCTCACAAAGATTTCAACTTGTGAATTGCTAAAAAGAGTGTGAAAGAGCTTGAGTTAAAGAGTAGCCCCAATCCTTCCAGCCCCAGAGAGACCCTGACTCTCTTCTCTCTTTCCACAGCCGGAGCAGCTAGATCCTGGGGAGCCACTGGAGGACAACCTGCTGAGCGTCAGGAAGCCCACGGTGGGACGCACACACTCCCTGCCCAACGACAGCTACATGTTCCTCCCCCTGCAGCCATGTGGCAACACGACCGTGGCTTCACCACATCTTCTAGCACAGACACAGGGGCCTGAGCACATACTGGGCACCCACAGGTCCCAGTCAGGTAATGTATGATACAGTATTCATTTTATTTCCAACAAATGTCACAGTAAATTGAAACAAGCACCCTGCGACAAAACAACACCTGAGCATTATTTACTGTTTTGTGAGAGACCACAGGTGTAGCTTGGGAGCTTATTTATTTGTTTTGATCCAAAGTTTGTGACACCTCATTTGAATAGGACAGACACAGTAGGCCCTGATTTGTAACATAATGAAATTTGACATCAACCAAGGAAGATACAGCTGAAATCCTCTGAGAACGAACACACCTGCTGTACCTGCTTTGTTTCACATTCAGTGCTGTGCTTGTTTGTGTGCAGGCTCCAGCAGCTCGGTGCGTTCACAACCAGAGGAGCGTTCCCAGCAGCTGACTGTTCCAACAGACCTCTTCAGACCTATCAGCCCCCACAGCCACTCAGACTCGGAGAGTATACCACGACTTCCCCCTCCCAGACGCACACACACATTCAGCCGCACGCTTCGCAGACAGGTGACTAAATCGCACTGATTCTGATTTTCACTTTACTCCAAAATCACTTTTAAAGCCTGTCTGTGTCTGTACTGTATGTGATGACAGCTTAGTGGTTCTCATCCATGTGCCATTTAGCCCCAATGATCTGGAAGTTTTGATTCACGCCAAACACTACAGAGGGTGATTTCACTGCTTAAAGCAGCTTTCTAGGAGAGACAAAAAGCAGAACTGGAGTGTTTGATGTGAATAAAAACTTAGAGTATGAGGGCTGTTGTTGGGAAAAATTAATTAATGATTTCTTTTTTTTAAATCAAGATGTAATATTTTGAGAAAACGTGTAAGTTAGGTGTCCTAATTTAAGTTTTAACACAGAAAAAAAATTAGAGTAAAGATGTGTCTTCATTTTTTTTAGAGATATTATTTACATATCTAAGATTTATTGAAAGGAATACTTTATTCCTCAAATCACCTTTTGTATATAAATTACTCATCTTATGTTACCTTGAATTCTTGACGAAAAGTTTGTTTTTCTAGCATGCCTCCAGGGCAAAATGAAAAATCCAAAAACTGAAAAGTGGGTCCTTTTTAAACAACAGCAAAACTATATCAAAACATTCCTTAACAAACTCTCACAAAACTCAGTGCACTATAATCCAAGTTTCATTTATCCTGTTGAATGCTCAGTAATACCCAAACAGACAGCCCTTTCTGACGGGGAACTGAACTAAAAGTGAAAGTTATCTGTGCTCTCTTTAAAGCCAGACTCCACTGACAGAAACAGTAGTTTTGCTGAACACAGGAGCTGCTGGTCTACCACTGCCTCATCAGTTGGTTTGTTTGTGTTATTGTGTGACTCTTGTAGTTTGAAGGGTTAGTTTGGATTAAGCAAAGTCACACAACAACATAAACTAACTAACTGATCAAGGCAGATGTAGACCAGCAGCTCCCATGTTCAGTGAGATAAAATTACTGTTTTTGTCAATGGAGTCTGGCTTTGAAGAGAGCATAGACAAAATTAAATTTTAGTTCAGCTCCCTGTCAGAGAGGCCTGTCTTTCGACTGGATAAATGAGACTTGGATTACACTGCACGAGTTGTGTGAGAGTTTGTAAACAGATGCTTTGATATAGTTTTGCTTTTGTTAAACACGGACCCCTTTCACTGCAATTTATCAAGAATTTTCTCTGTTTTTGGATTCTTTGATCACTGTGGAGGCATGAAATGGTCATTTTGTGGGCAAAATATTCCTTTAATATGCAAAAACATATTACAACTTGAAATCATTTTTTTTTATCATCAAGTTGTGGCCCTGAAACCCTGTTGCAGAGAGAAATTGGTTTAGAGCTTTCCTACAACTCTCTCCTTGTTGCATGTTCTAAACAGTTTTACTTTTCTTCCTCCACCTTTCTCCCCTTCTTCCTGGTATTCCTATCTGTTATTAACTTATCTGCTGTCTCATTCTTCATACTGTATCTGTTAACTTTCTGATCTCAGCTCAGTTGGTCCCAAAAGCCGCCCGACCCTGAGCTACTGCACAAACACAGATACTCCTGTTTCTGAAACAGCAACAAACAGCAGACATTAGCTACCACTGGGCCTTTCAGAAACACTGTTCTCCATGATCATCAACCAACAGACAGACAGATTAACAAACACACAGGCTTCCCTCATTTTTCGCCTTTGTCACTCATTTGATTTTTATTTCCTGCTAACCATCAGCCACAAAGCATCTAAACTCTATAACAGGTAACTCTGCCTGTAGGAAACCTCACTAATCCTTCTAAACCTAAGCAGCAGGAGTTGGGTGTAACATTGCATCAGTGGATTTTTCAGTAGCTGAGAGACAGAATGTATTCAAGCCAGACAAAGATATTATTTGGCCGAGGATTTTACCCACAATGCAGTGCACTTACTAATATAAACAATACAACTCAGGGGATTGCAACAGAACAGCGAGTGCTGTCCATATGCATTAGGCCATTTTGTACACACAGTACCACAGTGATAGAGCACTTGTGACTTTTCTATTGACTAGATTAGCTCTACATAGGTACATAGATGTTGATCAGAGTGCAGTAGTTATTGCACTAAACCCAATTTTACTTTAAAAAAAAGTGTGACAGGGTGATTTCTTCTTAGTAATGTTGCAGTTATGATTTGTTACTCGGTGTTGTAGTGCTCTGGCTGGTGATTGGCCTGGCCTGGTTGTGATATCTTTGACCACTAGGTGTCTCTGTGGTCCCACCATTCAGGCTCAGGCAGGGAAACCCATGATTTCAAACATTTCTCAAAGTGCCCTACAACTCATGCATGCTTTGCTTCCTCATCTCTAGAGATTCAAGACACTTTAGTTGATTTAATTCAACTCAATTATATTCAAATATTATTGTAATTTCCTCCCCCCAAGTTTGTTTCTGTGAGGAACGAGTCATTTTTTGAGTTTTAGCAACCATGGTGCTTACTAACGCTTCCTCTTCTACAGTGTTTACATATTATGTTTACCCTCTGACTGTTGGCCTCACACCCTGTGGACGGTTTTGTTCAGAGGCAAGGATGACGGCACGGAAACACTGATCAGAATTTGGCTGTAAATTGAACTACAAACTGCACTCCAGACAGTTTACAGGGTTTTGTGTGAATGGTCAAAGGTCAGAGGGTCAGGTGGTGTGGCTCAGAGTTCACTGTGTCAGCTGGTGCTCAATCAGCTGAGTCCTCCTGTCCAATCGAAAAGAAGCAGCGTACACTTTCCTGGTGATAAAAACAGATATGAGCTCCTTACATGGAAATATTCACGTCAGTTGGCACCTCCTCTAAAGTACTGAACTGTAGCATGACTTACAGGAAAGTGACACACCTCTGTATTTATTACATTCCAGCAAAGTGAAGGGTCATTCTGTTTTCACAATCTTTATATATTTATATATATAATATATATTTTCAAGAGAATCACAATAGTGATGTTGAGAGTGTCAGGGAAGTTTGAGTACAAGAAGTTAATTTTACAGTCATCACATCCCTTTAAAGACCCCTTTTAAGACAAATAAATAATACTGTGTTTTGAAATATAATTTGCATCCGATACAGGTCCTTAGCACAAGTTAGGTTGATTTAAATTTGTCATTTAATTGATTAAAAATGCATCCACTCCTGCCTTATTAGAAAATCCAGAATATGCACATAGTGTTAAATACATAAGTCGGACACAGTCAGTTCTCAGTGTATGTGACCTGGAGATTTTACATTCCCACATCACTCTTGCGTAAGTTTCATAGATCAGAGGGCTGTATCACGAAGCACGAAGTAGCTGGACTGACAAACCCTAAAGCCTCACTCAGAGGTAACGGGTATCACATGGGTGGTTATCAACTTGCTCTGTTAACCCAGGCTTTCTGCTTCAGGCTCTGTTTGCATTCCCTTAAAATTAGTCAAATGACGAATTCAGCACATTATCTGACTCTTAAAATTAAACAAGTGCATGCTGCTTACTTTCACCTTTGAAGAATATTGACAAACCTTCCAATTTTATTGTGAAGCAATGAAGTAATGAAAATGCTTAGGGGAAATGTATTGGAGTTAAGGTATACATTTTACTTAGGAAATGTGGTGGAGTAAAAGCAGAAGTTTAAGAAATATAAAAATTCAAGTAGAGTGCATATACTTTCTAGAAATACTTAAATATTCTAACAAAGTGTTATTACACCACTTATTAATAATGTAGTAAACTATTAAAGTATAATGTTACCTGTGGATTTATAAAAAGCTTTTAGAGCCAGTGTGGGCAAATGGACCAGAGAACACTACAAACACATTCAGGGAGTTCAGGGAGAAGAACAGATTTTCTGCATCATTAAAATACTCTAGGTTCCTATGGTTAAAAAAACCACATGATACGTACAGTAAGTGCTACTGTAATCGCACTGCTTCGTTTGGTGGCACTAATGAAATGTTACAGCTCAATAAATTGGATTAAGTGCATTTATAACATGTTCCCCCAGATGAGAATCTGTATTGCTCATAGATTGACATTGATTATAGAGCGAGGCTACTCGCCGATTTCAAACTGAAACTCAGGGCAAAAAACTGGTCTATTCCAGGTTTGGTCTCCAGCATCAGTTACCATAGCAATCCAGGCAGATTAAGAGACAGCCAGCTTCTATTAGGCCCAGCATACCTCCCTAACCCAGTGGTGTTGCTTCATGATACATCCCATGGCCCAAAGTCCTGCTGGCACACACGCACATGTTGAACTGAGATTTAGGGCGAGCAGCACAGAGAAACTTTCCTTCTTCAGCAGATGAATGTGAAAAAAACCTCTGCACATACATCATTCAGTGCAGTGACACTCAGACATCCGAGTGAAGTAAGAACAATAATCACTGAAGAATGGAGGGGGGCTTTGACAAATATTCCTATCAGATGTGAAAACAAAATACTGGCTCAACAGAAGCACTGCGCAGTAAATTAATAACACAAAACCAAAGAACACATCCAATAATGTCAAAAGCTGTTTACCCAACTTTCTCTTGACAAATCGTAATATGGAATTCTGCCATTGAGTAATCCAGTGTAACCTCTGGCTTATAATTCATGGCACAGTGTTGCAATCCATTTCAGCCGCACGCTGCCTTCAATAAGAAGTACAGAGAGGACTCTGGGGACATGCTGATCAGACTGTGAACTTTGACCCCAACTACTGCTTCTCATCCTCATCACCTCTCACTAACTAGTCTCCCCTCTCATCGCCCTGATCCCCTGATCTCCCCCTCCCTTCCCTCACCGCACATTTACCTCCATCTCCTCGCCCTTCTCTCCTAAATATTTCATCCCCCCCCGTCTCCCCTCCATGCCCCGTCCTCCAGGTTGCAGTGTCTACTGACTCTCAGGAGGCCCTGTGTTCAGACGGAGGGGAGAGCAGTGAAGGACTAGTGAATGTGGCCTCTGTGGGCCTCCCTCCATCCCCCTCCAACTCCTCCACCTCTCTTTCCCCCTGCTCCCATCATCATCAGCAGCCTGCACTCTGCCTGGTCCCCGCTACGCCAGGCGCCTCCCCTAAACCCTCGCGCCCCAGCAGCGTGCACACCCAGCTTCATGACCAGCACTGCCTCACCTCCTACACCCCTTCCTCCCCTTCGCCATCCCCTCCTCCCCCACCCTTACCAGCCAGGCCGCACCAACAGGAGAAGTTGGATCAGGAAGTGTCCCTCATTACCCGGGCAGGGTTGGCTAGCAGTGATGATATTATAGCAGAGGACAGTGGTGATGGCGGTAATGAGGGTTACAGCAGCTACGCAGGCTGCCCAGAGAGCCGGAGTCCATGTCTGAGGCAGCTGAAGAGGTTCCACAGCGCTGACACGCAGGGCCGCAGTGCTCCCCCGCCCCGCCCCCGCCCTTACTCCTGGCTGGACGACCCACGACGCCACTCTGTTGAGGTGTGCTCCTCGGTGGAGTCCAGCCCCCAGCGCAGCACCACCTCCACCTCCTCCGGCTTTGTGTCGCGGGCCGACAGCCTGCAGATCCACAGCCAGACCTCCACTCAGACCTCGCTGCCCTCGCCCCGACGCAAGAAGAAGATGAGCCCGCCCTGCATCTCCGTGGACCCCCCTGACGGACTGGAGCCTCAGTCTGGCCTCTACCCGAGCATGGGTGGACTCGGGGGCATGGGGCTGGGGGGACTGGGGATGCCCCCCCCTCTGCCCAGCCGGGACACCTGCCTGAGGAGGAGAGCGCCCTCCAGTGACTCCAAGGACTCCTTTGACCTGGGAGTTGGAGAGGGTTCGGGACAGGACGGAGGCTCGCCAAACCCCAACACCAACCCCAAGCTACTGACTCTTCCCAGAGAAGACAAGCTCTGAGCACTGAACACTGATACTGCAACACACAGACACACACACGCACACAGCTGGACGAACCCTCCACACACACAAACACACGATGCACACCGTGTATCTGTGATGGTGATAGTTCTAGTAATAATGCTGTAGAGAGTAATAATGGTAAAACTACAACAAACAGTAAAAACATCCTTGGTTTCATAAGGAGTGCAGTACTGTAGTAGTGTGACCATCCCTTGTCTTTGTATTGTTACTGCCAAAACAACCAGAGAAGAAGAGAACACACGAAACAACAACACAAACATGACTGTTTCTCTTCGGTTACGTCTGCATGCCACTGGCTGCAGCTCGACCCCGTAACCTCTGGAGTGACATCAGCACCTGGGATTTGGCGCCCTCTGTGGTCGTCATATGAACTGTCTGGTGTTACACAGGGTGGGCTTTGCCCGGTCGGTGGAGGTACAAAGCAATATGAACGTTTTAGAGACACTATTTTCTTAAATTATTGGGCCATAGTGTTTGTACAGGATGTTGTTTTTTAATTTCATTTGATTGTTATTTTCATGTCTTTTTTGTGATTTTCTTTTTTTTTTTGTCAAAATGGTTTGTCTTTGTCTTTTTTTTCACTGTAGGATATTTCTAGCTTTCTTGGTTTACTGAGGAAAGTGAACGTTTTTCAAAGTGCTGAAAACCATGTATTTGTAGGAATAATATATAAATATATATATAAAAAAAACAAGTCATTAAACTGAGCTTGGATTTTTAAGCACACGCATTAGACCGTGGTGGTTTGATTGTTAGTGGAAAAAGGAGGTTTCACTTGAAGTTTTTACATTGATTGCTTGATTCTCTTGAGGGTCTGAGACAGCCCCTGAGGTCTCTGTGCACGGGATGTGAGGACAGAGACTATAACAACTTCAGAAAAACAACTTCATATTGATTCTGCAGTTGTGTTTTTGACATTACTTCTTCTTTGACTTCTTAGAATGTGCTAATCCAACTTTTGTTGTTCAGGTGTGTGTCTGCAGCAGATTTATATCCCTCTGGGCATCAGAGATTGATATCCATTCCTCACATTTCCTCTTTGTGTGAAGAGTGGACTGTCACTGCAGAAACTCTTAGGCTGCCCAAACCCAAAAGCACAATAAATCTGACCTCATGAACTGAACTTTCTACTGACACTGGAGACTGTTAATTGTGAAAACAACATTAAAGAAGTCATAGCACACCTAACACAGCCATCTCTACTGCAAACCTTCTCCTCACCACAACCACTGCTCTCTATCACAATGAATTAAGGTAAACAGAATGAATGCACGGCAGGAGTCTCATATTTACTATGAAACAAGATGAAATGGAAGTTCCCTGGATGTAACTCCAGTTAAGGTGTGCTAATATACCCCAGCGTTGCTCTGCATCACAATGTCAAGTGTAACACTTACTCTGGGAAATACAGTTAAAGAGACAGATCACCATCAAATCAAAAACATATTTTTCCTCTTACCTGTGAGATAGTTTTGGTGTGAGTGACCGACTGTTGGAGCTATCGACCGTAGAGATGTCTGCCTTCTCTTGAGTATAATTGAACTAGATAACACTCAGCTTGTGGTGCTCAAAGCGGCAAAAAAATACATTTGAAAAGCTCAACAGCAATGTCTCTTTCCATAAATCATGACCTGGTTACTCAAGATAGTGAGCGGTTTCATGTAGGAACTGTCATCTTCCTACCAGCCAACCAATTCACCTTGCAGAAGGAGGTGTGCATCTACACATGGACCAGAGGCTCACGCTTGTGACAGTGCAAGATGTAAACATTATTGGTGCCCTCCTTGGCTGAGCTGTAACGTTAGCTAACTTAGTGGTGCTAGGTGAGCTAGCAGTAGATGCACTCTTCCTTCTGTATGGTGATATGGTTGGCAGGTGTGGTTTGGGAGAAAGAAAATAGCTCCTACATGAAACTGCTCACAACAAGGGCTGTGGATTATCTTGAGTATGCGGGTCATGGTTTCTGGAAAGGGACATTGCTGTTGAGTTTGTCAAAGGTATTTTTCTAGTTCCATTATAATCATCTCACTCAAAAATATGAATTTTTGGGTTGAACTGTTCCTTTAAAGGGGGATTACACTCATTTTACACATTTTACACAATGCACCTGTTGGGGAATACTATGTGGACAAAAGTTGCTCCTTTTGTGTCTCCAAAGGCAACTGCGTGAAGTCTGATGATCTGCCCCTAATGATGCCTTTGCATCGGTTGAGTCTGAAGACTACAAATTTGAAAATGAAAAAAAATCTTACGGCAAGGGGTTAGAAAGAAGAGATCCTACCAGACCTCTGTAGCCTGCACTTTATCTTTGCTTGAGGCTACAGTAGCTACTGCTAGCATAACACACCCAAATCTCCAATCTGACTTTTGATGGTTGAGTTACAATGTCAGTAATGTAGGCACCAGGATTTGACAAGGAGGAGGAGACAGCGTGAAATAAAAAAGATGATATCTCTGGTTCTGCTGCATCAACTTTGATGCTCTTTATTTTGACCTGTCCATCAAGAGTCTGAAAGTGTTTCGGGGGTGCAAAGTTAAATTAATGGAGAACTCTTTTAAAGCAATACTTTGTCCAGTCATGGATGATACATCCATCTGGTAGTGCGGGTGCCATGAACAGGAGCAAGCATAAATTTGGCTTAACTGAGAAAGGCTGTCCTAAAGCAGAGATAAGAGATAGGTTTTCCCTCACTGCCTCTACCATCATTTCCTGTGGAAACGTCAAAGAAAATTAGTCCCCGATGGATCAAAACATTCTCATATTTCGTGTTAGATTTGAATCTCCAACACCACATTTATATATGTTGTCTACACAGTGATTTAACTTTGCCTCAACATGGTGTCTGACTGAGTAGAAACAACTCGACTTACCATTTAGCATCGACAAAGAGGCCATGTACCCCATTCTTTGTCTTCCCTCAGGATCAGATAGTGTTTACTGATGAAGGCTGCACACAGGATGCATTGTTTTAAATATCTGCACCTTCTGACAATAGTTATCAGCGTCTTGGTAGCAGCAGCAAGTTAAAGAGCTTTAGCTGTGTATCACATTAGTGCCAGAAAAGAAGAGAAAAATAAATGTCTCAAGGGGTGTATATGTGTTCTTCCTTCTGGAACAGCATCTTCATTCTCTCCTCAAGCAATAGCAAAAGTTATTTATAACTTTTCTCCTTTTATGTTTTTATTGGAACTATCTAATGCACAGTGAGCAGGATACAACACTGGTTGCACTATGAGCTCTTGCTCAGTTTATTATTGTGACATGCATTAGCAGGAGACAAATGTGGTCGCTGCCAGAAATATCCTGTCTGCTTTTACACAAATAAACAACAATTAGAGACCGCAGAGACACAGAAAACATGACAACATGAACTTGGACAGAGGGAAATGTATCTAATGAGGCACTAAAACATTATCACACAGTGTTCATTTGTGCTTTTAATGATCTGAATGAATTGTCATAAAAGTCAGCAACATGATTCACTGCACAAATATAATTCATACAAATGAGCCTAGATTTTACAAACGATATGCAGGGGAAAATAGGGCTTATTAAATATGCTAATGTGCAGTGATCTAGGCTGTGTTTTTGTAATGCTCTTCAAACTGTAAATATTTGGTCTGACTTTTATGTAAAAGAATGAACTAAATCATTAATTATAAGTAATTATGAAAGTGCTTATCTCTCAGCAGGAGCAAAAGGGAGCTCCTAAGGCGCTTGTGGTTAATAAACAACTGACTTTGGAAGCTGAAATAATGATGTCAGGGTGATAATGACACGTTTTTGTCATTTAAAGAGCTCCTGCTGCTAAATAGTTTAGAGACATTAAAGTCATAAATCAAAACTTGTAAGCATCAGTCTAATCAACAGATTAAGACACTGCTATGTTAGTTTTCACTCATATTTCAGAGCTAGATGAAAGAAAGAGTTGGCTCAGCATATTCTTAGTCATATGCAAGAATGAAAGG